TTTTTTTTTTTTTTTTTTTTTTGCTAGACTAATTGACATGGATCTGGACTCTGTGTCCACAATGAATCTGGAAGTGAACTTTTTTCTTTTTTATTTCTTTTTTTTTTTGCGGAACCAGGGATTGAACTCAGATCCTTGCGTTTGCCAGTTAAGCGCTTATCCTACTGAGCCATCTCCCCGGCCCCTTTTATCTCTCTTTTTTAAAAAATGTATTTGGTTGTTGCAGGATCTCACAATGCAGCAGTTCAGACTCATGGTAATCCTCCTGTTTTCAGCCTCCCCAGTGCTGGGATTACAGGTGTCCACCACCACACCTGGACTCTGCCTGCCCTGGGGGTGGGGCCGGCATGGCATATGATGCTGGGAATCGAACAGAGGTCTGTGCTTGCCTAAGCAGGCACTTTAGGCCACTGAGCTATCTCACCAGCCCCTTGTTCATGTTGCTGTTGTTTTATTTTTGTTCTCTTCTTCATTGTTTTATTTTGTTTTTATGTGGGTGGGAAGATGGTTTCTAGCTTCTTTGTGTGGTTGTTCTGTTCTGTTCTTTTTATTTCTTGGTTCTCTCGTCCTTTTGTCTTCCATACCAGCTTCCCAAAGTTTGTACAACCCATTGTGTCCATTAGCCTTGCTTCTAATCTCTTCTACCTATTTTTTTATCTAACACCTTTAAAATTTTTTCTGAGGGTAAAATTAACATGTTAAGAACTTATTTGCTGCATATAATTTTCTGGTTTGTTTTAAATTTTGTTATATATCCACAAACCTAGTTCATACAATTAAAGGTAGCAAATTAATGGTTACCTCAGTTTGTCATTTTCTAGGCTGTATTTTTTTTTTAATGTATTTAGTACAGGGTGTACACAGTCTCACTATACAGTTCAGACTTGTCATGATCCTCCTGTTTTCTGTCTCCCAAGGGATGGGATTACAGGCATGCGCCACCACAGCCAATCTCAATCAAGTCTCAGCATACCCCAGGGGCAGGGCTGGCACAGCAGCACATGGGAGGATCGAACCCCAGTCCCTGCATCTGCTTAAGCAGGTGCTTTAATCCACTAAACTATTTGGCTGGCCCTCTAAGTAGTATTTGATGCTACTGTTACTGCTGGCTGTACCATGTCAGTCAAAGTGACATAATGTTTATCATTAGCTCTTCTTCCTAGTATTCCCAGACTGAGATTGCCTAAGCATTATAGAAAATACTGTGGACTGGTGCCAAAGAATGAGGAGCTGGGCCAAGCAGGAAGCAACTTCTTATCCCCAACAAATTAAAGAGGTAGGATCTTGCAACAGACTCAAAACCCAAAATCCAGCTACATCTAGAAGAAACCTGAGTGGGAGTCATTTTCTAAATACTAGCAATAAAGCAACTCACCATAGGCAATTTACAAGCATCAACCCAGGAATTAAACTAAAAAGCAGACGAGGAAAAGAAGGAAGAGGAGGAGGAAGAGGAAGAGGAGGAGGAAGAGGAAGAAAATAAAGAGAAGGAAGAGGAAAGAGGAAGAGGAGAAAGAAAGAAAGAAAATGAGAAGACACTTGAACAAGATGCGACCCCAGATATCCAGTTCACCAAAGGCAAACTCAGATGGCAATGAGGTGGGACAATCTGAAAGCCACTCACCAGCCACTCTGAAATGGTAACAACAAAGCAAATGAATGAGGTTCTAGAAAAAATAAATCAAATAAATCAATAAAATCAGAAATAATTTTTCAGATAATTACAGAGATGCTGTCCACAATGAAAACCATGCTTAGTGACTCTAGAGCAGATACAGATAAAAGAAAAATAAAAGAGCTTAAGAAAATGATGGAGTTCATGAATGCCGAACACAGGAAACAATTTGAATCCATAAAACAGATTCAAAGAGATATCCAAGAGAATAAAAATTTCACTGAATGTATCCACAGCAGAATGAGCCAATGTGAGGATAGAATTTCAGATACAGAAGACAGGCTTGGGGTTAGCAATAATGAAAAGAAAAATTTCTTGGGCTGGGGAGATAGCTCAGTAGAATAAGAACTTGCCTGACAAGTGTAAGGTCCTGAGTTCAAACCCCGGTACCGGAAAAAAAAAAAAAAAACAAGGAAAAAAGAAAAATTTCTTAAAAATAGCAAAGTATCATGAGAAATCAATACATCAGCTGCTAGATGATGCAAAGAATAACACAGGAGTGATGAGTAAATAAAAAAGGAAGTAGCACAAACGATATATATATACATATTGTTCACAGATATCATGGTAGAAAACTCCCCTGGCAAGGAAAAAGAACATAACATACACATAAGTGAAGCAGACAGAACTCCAATTAGCTGTGATAAAAGAAAAATCTACAGCCAGGCATATCATAGTTGAGATTCCAGAAATTCAACACAAAATAGAGTACTAAAAGCTGAGGGAAAAGAAATAAATCACCTCTAAAGGAAAGCCCACCAGAACCATAGCTGACTTCTCAAAAGAAATCCTCAAGTCAGGAGAGAGCTTAAAGTATTTCAAGCCCTAAAAGAAAACTTCTAACCTAAACTGATGCATCCTAATAAACTATCTTTCAAAATTAATGGAGAGGGACCGGACAAATAGCTCAGTGGATTAAAGCACCTGCAAACAGGCACAGGGGCCAGGAGTTCGATCCCTGGGCCTGCCATGCTGGCCCCGCCCTGGGGCATGCTGAGACGTTGATTGAGACTGAGCATGGTGGCGCATGCCTGTAATCCTAGCTCTTGGAAGGCTGCAAACAGGCAGATCACTACAGTCCAATCTAGTAGTGAGACCCTGCACACCCTGTAGACCCTTCCTAAAAAAAAAAATACATACACACACACACACACACACACAAAAAAAAAATGGAGAAATTATATACTTCCATGTCAAAGAACACCTGAGGACATTTATGAACATCAAACCAGCACTCCAAGCATAGAATTCTTTATTCTATTTTTAAAATATAATCTAATTTTTAAATGTTTTTATCATATTATGTAGGGACTTAAAAGTTCAACATATCAATACTTGATGAAAAATACCTGTTCCTTATTATGCCTAAGATGTTTGAAATGCA